ATTTTAAATGACAATCGGAGCTTCAGAAGGATTGCCTTACCCAATTGCTCTTTTGTTTTCAGCGAAGTCTACAAGAAAAGGCCTCTTTTGTTTGTTCCTGTTGGCAATCAGAAAGACAGAAAAAAAAAAAAATGTCCAAAGGCCTTCTTCACACATCACAACGGCCTCCAACTTGCACTGGCAGTGGCCAAAATTCCCACTGCATTTCAACACCGGTGGAATCATACACAAACTGAACGATTCAGATCATAGTTCCTATATCAGATCTTCTCCTCAAATTCTATGTGTTGTTTTTTTTTTTTAAAAAAAACCCTTTTCTTATAAGAATGGAGTTTTGCAACTCATCATTCAAACACCTAGAAGGTGCCAAGATTCAATTCACAGTATCTCCGAGAAGCGCAAGACAGACATATGGACTTTCTCGATAAAATCATTCCTTATTCCTATCTGTAACAAAAAGGATTTCTGGATGAGAGGGCTTCAAAAGATGATTCAAAACAACAATATCCGTGGCAAGGCTTTCTTAACTCTTATTTTCTATCGTTTATTTTCTTTGTCTTTACTCCTTTATATAGCCTCTGTTTATTTATACCCCACATTTATTATTTTTACAAATAACTCAAGGCAGAGAACATACCCAACACACATCCTCCTCATATTTTCCCCACAACCCTATGAGGTGAGTTGATCTAAAAGAGAGGCAGTGACTGGCCCAAGGTCACCTAGCCAGCTTTCATGACCAAGGCAGGACTAGAACTCAGAGTCTTCTGGTGATTGGCTGAAAATCGTCCAGCTGGCTTTCATGCCTAAGGCGGGACTAGAACTCACCATCTCCTGATGATTGGCCCAAAGTCACCCAGATGGCTCTCATGCCTAAAGCAGAACTAGCACTCACCATATCCTGGTGTTTGGACCAAAGTCACCCAGATGGCTTTCATGCCTAAGGCGGGACTAGAACTCACTGTCTCCTGGTGATTGGCTGAAAATCGTCCAGGTGGCTTTCATGCCTAAGGTGGGACTAGAACTCACTGTCTCCTGGTGATTGGCCCAAAGTCGTCCAGTTGGCTTTCATGCCTAAGGTGGGACTAGAACTCACCATCTCCTGGTGATTGGCCCAAAATCACCCAGCTGGCTTTCATGGATAAGGGGGGATTTGAACTCACAGTATCTTGCTTTCTAGTCCAGTACCTTAACCACTAGACCAGTGGTTCTCAACCTGTGGGTCGGGACCCCATTTGGGGTCGAACGACCATTTCACGTGGGTCACCAAACAAGGCTGTCCGCCATTTTTTCCCCCCTTTTCTTTGGCCACGCCCCTGGCACCCGGTGATGTATAAGTGGTTCGGGATCACCACAACATGGGGAACTGTATTATGGGGTCGCGGCATTAGAAAGGTTGAGAACCACTGCACTAGACCAAATTGGCTCATTAAAACTTTGATTGTCTTGTTTCAACCCTGAGCTATAAATACTTTCTTTTATTGTCTTGTTTATTTACAGAAGTCTTATTGTGAAGAAATATAATTATTCCCAATCTCTAGCCAATCTCGAAATGCATTCAGACAACCACAATTAAACGATTTTTGTTTTCAATGGTTTGCTTCATTTATGCCAATCCTTATTTCCAAAGATACGTAAAATTTCTACTCAGTCAACAAACCCAAACAAGTTTCCTAAATAATGCCGGCTGACTCTCCATCTGACTGATGAATATTGCATTTGAAATAATTATCCTGTTTCTTTTAAAGCGTCAGTTAGCTAAGGGTCTTTGTGGATACACTTTCAAATTAAAACATTTCTCACTCTTTTGAAAAAAAAAAAGGCAAGGAAAACAACATTGTTCCAAGTGCAAAATAAAAATGTTTACAAAACTACTTCCTATACGCACGTTCTCTTTAAACAATGTCCTAACCACAGCAGATAAATTCCTTGCAATTATAAGGCTCAATATAAAAATACAGGTAGTCCTCAACTTACGAACATAACTGAGTCCAAAATTTCCATTGCTAAACAAGACAGTTATTAAGTGAATCTTGCCCCATTTTACAGCTTTTCTTGCCACTGTTGTTAAGTGAATCCCTGCAGTTGTTAAGTTAGTCACATGGTTGTTAAGTGAATCTGGCTTCCCCATTAACTGTGCTTATCGGAAGGTCGCAAAAGAGGATCATGTGACCCCAGGACACTGCAACCATCATTAGTACATGCCAGTTGCCGAGCCTCTGAATTTTGATCATGTGACCACAGGGAGCCTGCAACAATCTTGTGAATACCAGTTATAAATCCCTTTTTTCAATGTCAGTGTAACTTTGAATGGTCGGGAGGCTAACAGTTGTAAATAAAAGACTACTTGTAAAAACAGTTCGGAATTAATGTGAAATAAAAAGTTACAAGTCCACATATTTTCACGTGGCTGAGGTTGACAAAGGATGGATGGATGGAAAGAGACACAAGAGAGGGAGAAACTATACATAGATATGGATAGGCAGGCAGACAGCTGAGATAGATAGATAGATAGATAGATAGATAGATAGATAGATAGATAGATAGATAGATAGATAGATAGATAGATGATAGATAGAGGAGAGATGATAATAGACAGATAGGCAGACAGAAATGATAAAGGTAGAGATATAGAGAGATAGATAATGATAAAGATATAGATAGATAGATAGATAGATAGATAATAGATAGATAGGCAGATAAAGGTAGAGATGATAGAAATAAAGATAGAGACAGATAGACTGATGGATAGATAGACAGACAGATAGAAAGATCCAACTTGGAGATAGATAAGAGAATCACTCAGCCTTTGCTTCAGTGTCTATAGATGTCTCATGCCAGACACTTTTAAATGCAAAACCTGACTTATTTTGCAAGCCAGGCTCCCTTTACCATTTCCAAGACGGGATTCCTAAAATGATCCACCACCTAAGTGAGTAGACAATTCCTATCACGGCTGCATATTATTGGGCAACCAAACGCTGCTCTCTGGAACTTTTCCTATCAGTAGAAAATACTGGCGGGTCCTAGTGAAGAGGAAGGGATTTTTTTTAATCAGAGTTCGTTTAAATCTTTGACTATCGTGGCCAATTCAAAGCAAGCTTCCTGCAATCAGTAAAGCTCACACACACCCCAAAAGAGGATGTGGGATAAGGCAAGCATGATAGTTCAGAGTCAGATAATGTTGTGGTTGATTCTGAAAATGATGGGAATCCAGACCCCATGCTAGTTCATGATTTGGTCACCACGATGTAAAAAAAGATGTTGAGACTCTAGAAAGAGTGCAGAGAAGAGCAACAAAGAGGATCAGGGGACTGGAGGCTAAAACATATAAGGAACGGTTGCTGGAAATGGGTATGTCTAGTTTAATGAAGAGAAGGACGAGGGGGGACATGATAGCAGTCTTCCAGTATCTCAGGGGCTGCCACAAAGAAGAGGGAGTCAAGCTATTCTCCAAGGCGCCTGAAGGCAGGACAAGAAGCAACGGATGGAAACTAACCAAAGAGAGAAGCAACCTAGAACTAAGAAGAAACTTCCTGACAGTGAGAACAATTAACCAGTGGAACAACCTGCCTCCAGAAGCGGTGAATGCGCCAACACTGGAAGTTTTTAAGAAGAGACTGGACAGCCATTTGTCTGAAATGGCATAGGGTTTCCTGCCTGAGCAGGGGGTTGGACTAGAACAGAGGTCCCCAACCTTTTGGGCACCAGTTCTGCGGAGAGAGATTTTTCCGCAGACCGGAGGGTGCGTGGTTTTGTGTGCTGCCTGCATCTCTCGTGGATGGGGCTTTGCTTGTTTGTGTGGACCGGTTGCTGGCATGCCACGGCCCACTACTGATCCACGGACCGTGGGGGGGAGTTGGGGACCCCTGGACTAGAAGACCCCCCCCCAAGGTCCCTTCCATCTCTGTTATTCTATTCTATATGATTCACATCAAGGTCAGACCTCAAGTGACCTCAAGGTCCAGGTAATTAGAGGTAAGGCTTGTGAACCCAGCCACTTATTAACTCCTAAGCCTGGAAATAACCCACTCTCAGAGTCACCCCCCCCACCCCCAACCAGAAAGTCTCCTCTGCAAATCCCTAGAGAGGCCAAGCAACCGCCACCAACGATTCTCCTACACATCTCTGCCAGCTTGCCGGTGAAACGGAAAGTGACTTGGCACAATCGCTCGCGCTCTCTCTCTCTCTGCCATTCATTTCTTTCTATATATAGTCTTGGATTTCAGCAACAGCCATGTTAGCAGCTGGGGACCGCTTTCCAACAACTGGCCGCGGGAAGAAGTTCATCACCACTACCACCCACGCCCGGCCCGGTTCTCCTAACCCAGTATTTCTCAACCTTGACCATTTTAAGGCATGTGGACTTCAACTCCCAGAATTCCACAGCCAGCAATGCTGGCTGTGGAATTCTGGGAGTTGAAGTCAACATGCCTTAAAATGGTCAAGGTTGAGAAACACTGTCCTAACCGGAGGCGAATCCGGATCGGGATCCGGACGCGCGGAGAGTAGGCCAGGCACCGCGCCTTGCCCTTTCGCTGGCCCGGGGAGGAAGGCCCGTCTGCTCTTCGCTTGGAGCCCAGAAAGAACCCCTCCTGGCCAGGCACCCACCCTTTGCCCCAGCCACCCAAGCCCCCGAAGCTTTCCGGCGCCGGGCGCATCCTTCCCAGCGACACCAAAAGGCAGAAGCAAGAAGGGCGCACGGGGCACCCCGGTTGCGCTTCGCTCTGGACAGCGTCCTTCTCCTTCTCCTCCTTCCTTCTCTTCCTCCTCCTCTTCCTCCTTCTTCTCCTTCTCTCTGGACAGACCCCCCCCCACCCCCATCCAGAGCTGGCCCGGCCTCAACTCGTGCCTGGAACCGGGCTCAGCGCTGCTGTGTGCGCCCCGTTGGAGACACGGCTTGGGTACCCCGGGAGCGCGCCTCCTCCTCCTCCTCCTCCTGCTCTCCTTTTGCCCTTGCCCGGGCGGCGAGTTGGCTGGGCAGCCCCCTTCGCGCTCACCTCCACGCGCCTGGCCGGCTGGCTGCGCTCCCCGCCTGCAAGCCGGCCGCTTTCCTCGCCTGCACCGCTGGCTCGCCCTGCGCCGGGAAGGGAGGATGGAGCGCAAGCAGCAGCGGCGACGGCGGCGGGCTGTTTACTAGCCGGCTCTCGCGAGAGGAAGGAGCTTCGGCCCCCAAAGGGGGGGGGGAGTTGAGAAGGTGGGCCTGCCGCCGCCGCCGCCGATTGGCTTCCCGCCGTCGCCGGAGGCTGAGCCACGCGAGCTGCGGCAGTGCCGCGGCGGGGAGATGCCGGTTGCGGGGCCGGAGCTTGGAAGAGGAAGGAGAAGTGATCCCCGCGCACTGTTGCCCCTCCTCACTTTGGAGAGAGAGAGAGAGATAGGGAGGGAGAGAGAAGAAAAGAGAGGAGAGAAAGAACGGGAAAGAAAAGCGAAAGAACGAGAGAGAAAAGGGAATAGAAAGAAAAAGGAGAGGGAGAGAACGGGGAGAAAAAGAAAGCCGGGAAAGAAAGGAAGCGTGAGAAAAAGAAGAAGAGAGAAAAAGACAGAGAAAAAGAAAGAACGAGAGAAAGAGAAAGGAAGCGAGAAAGAAGAAAAAGAAAGAAAGAAAAGCTTTGCATTGAGACTTGTGGTCCCCCTAAGACAAAGAATGGGGGGCAGAGAGATCGATTGGGTCTTCTTGGCATCTTTGCGTAAAAGCGCTTTGGCGCCTCAGTTCGGGAGCCAAACGGCGTTTAGATTGAGTTTGGATTCCCCTCCCGCGTTTCTCCTCCTGCGAACCGACCCCCTTTGGGAAAGACGCCCTAGAGCTGGCAAACGAGAAGCGGGGATGAAGTGAAAATCCGGGTTGGCAAGAATCAGAAAGCCAAGCAGAGTAGAAGGAGTGAATGGCGTTTGGGGAGAACCCCTCTGAATTCAGTTTCTTCGAGAGAAGCAACCTGGAATTAAGGAGAAACTTCCTAATAGATAGTGAGGACAATGAACCAGTGGAACAACCTGCCTCCAGAAGTTGTGAGTGCTTCACTGGAGGCTTTGAAGAAGAGACTGGACCACCATTGGTCTGAGATGATAGGGCAGTGATGGCAAACCTTTTAGAGACCGAGTGCCCAAACTGCGCCGAGGTGGCAGTTAGAGTGCAGTACTGCAGGCCACTTTAGCTAACTGTGTTCAGCAGGTCAGCGGTTCAAATCTCACTGGCTCAAGGTTGACTCAGCCTTCCATCCTTCCAGGGTAGGTAAAATGAGGACCCAGATTGTTGGGGGCAATGTAAATATATATATATACATTGCTTACTGGTGTACACCGCTTAGAGAGTGCTTGCACTTAAAGCGGTATATAAGTTTCATAAATAAATAAACTGCAACCCAAAACCCACTTATGCATCGTAGAGTGCCGGGTGGGTGTGGCCCATTGGGTGGGCGTGGCTGCGGTGGTAACGGCAGATTGGGTGGGACTAAAAAGTTCAATCAATCAATTCCAACTTTGCGAGATCTTTTTTTTCCCTGCAAGTTGAAATTGACTAATTGAACCTTTTTTTTTTTGTTTTGCGCACGGCGGCGGAGGCCTAAAGCGAAAAGGTTTTATAAAACCCAGCTGAAGGCCTAGGACTGGGGCGATGGCACGCGTGCCCACAAAGAGGGCTCTGAGTGCCGCCTCTGGCACCCGTGCCATAAGTTCGCCACCATTGTGATAGGGTCTCCTGCTTGGGCAGGGGGTTGAAGTAGATTTAGAAGATCTCCAAGGTCCCTTCCAGCTCTATTCTGATTGGTTGGTTCTTGTCTCGCTCCTCGCATCCCTTTCATTTCCCTTTCACCCACCCTCCTTCCCTCGCTTTCCTTTTTCCCATCGTCCTTTGCCTCTTGCAGACCTTGCAACTGGCAGCATAACTCCAGGCATTTGCCTGCTGGTAGCTATCAGGCCAGACTCAACGCTGTGTCCCGAAGGTGCAAATTGGTGACTCATTGAATAAACTTGGTGACTTTTAGCACGGTTTATTTTGAATTCGTGGCTTGTTTTAAAATCTTCATTCATGGCGCAAGAACGAATGACTAGGTCACTAGGAGATTCTCCATCATACAGGTAAGGGTTGTCCCAAAGGTGCTTTTTTTTCCCCCCCAAAAGGCAATTGGACTTTGTGTGTTTTTTTTCCTTTGAAAATGTTTCATTTCTCATCCAAAAAGTGAGAATGAGAAGCAAAATGTTTTCAGAGGAAAAAAAAAACCAAGAAAGTCCAATTGCCTTTGGGGGGAAAAAAGCATCTTTGGGACAACTCTGACCTGGATGACTGAGAATCTCCATATAGACATTCATTCCTACACCACAAATGAAAATTTTAAAACATGCTTAACCCATGAATTCAAAACGAACTGGGCTTAACAGTGACCCTGTCTATTCAGAAGGTCTTCAATTTGCCCAAAGTTCAACCAACTTTTTCTAGACCAGGGTTTTTCAACCTTTTCACCCATTGTACCACTTTTAGGATGTGGCAACATCCGAGGACCACCAGTCGCCTAGCAAGGTGTCAAAAACTAGATGACCAAAAAAAGGAAAAAAGTGATAAAGTACAGGTAGTCCTCGACTTACAACAGTTTGCTTAGTGACTGTTTGAAGTTACAATGGCACTGAAAAAAGTGCCCCCCAAGCCACAACTGAGCAAGACGCCTGCCCGCCCGGTGGTACTCTTCCTCCTGTCCGAGGTTTTCATTGTTGTGAGCATTTCTGTTGAGGATTGGCAACAGGGGTAGGGGGGTGTTTGGTTTTTATTCCCCCCATCTGCTGGGTGGTTGCAGCAGGCTGTGGTCACTTCACATGACCCTGGGACACTGTGATCGTAATAAATATGAATCAGTTGCCAAGCATCTGAATGTAAATCACAAGACCCTGGAGATGCTGCAACATTCCAGCTGATTGGTGCTTCTTCTGGACTCAGCAGAAGCACCAGGATCAGCGCCGAGCTACAGCTGGAGCCTGGTGCTGATCCTGGCGCTTCCACTGAGCCCTGACAGCCCTGAAGAAGCACCAATCAGCTAGAAAGTGGCACTGATCCTAGCGCTTCCGCTGAGCCCTGACAGCCCTGCAGCTCCAGCCATCTCTCGCTCAAGCTTGTGCGGTGCTGCCACCAGTTCAGCTCATTCCCCTCCCCCGCTATTTTTCTAGGATGGCCGTGTACCACCTGCCAGGTGCCAATGTACCATAGGTGGTACCTGTACCACTGGTTGAAAAGCCCTGTTCTAGACAATCTTCTCTGAATTGCATTCATTCAGAAAGTTGAAACTTTCCCCCTCAAGTCATCCCTCTTTTCCCCAATGCTCCTCTTCTATTTTCCAGTCCTGTGATGGTCAAAGAAACAGAAATGAGGTTTTTAGGGAAAAAACATTCTGAATTAATTTCTACTTTTAATTATACAGCTTGGATGGCACCAGCTTGTACCTTAAGGCAAGTTATTTTAGTTGGTTTATTCATCATTAACCTGACAAGTTCAGCTCCATTCAGTGGTGTCCACCAATAAACTGTGATGTCAAAATTATGACGCACAATGATTTGGTCACAAGAAGTAATTAGTGATGTCCTTGCATTATGATGCCTGATGCCATTATTTATTCCCAGCACTTGTATTATTATTTCACCATATACGTGTCATCATTTTGATGCCTCCCCGTGGATATCCATGGTTCCACCCAATTATGGTGTCACAAATACACATCCTGTCGCGGTTTCATTCATTTCATTCCATACTGTTGACACTTACAGATTTTATACACCAAGTCCCAATCGGCCTATGTGCTGCGGCTATCAGCAGAGCCTATAAGCACCAGTCCCAGTTCACCATTGTGTGTTTGGTCACCAAGAATCTTCCAGAACATTTTTTTTTAATAATTTAGAGAAGGTGTAATCTAGATTACTGGCCTAGGTGATACTTGTATCACATGTCAGTGATTTTCTGCCAGTGATAAAGTCCTATTTCTTTCTGTATTTCTGTATTTCTTTATTTATTCAATTTCTATAGTTACCCATCTCAAGCAAGTTTATTTATTTATTTATTTATTTATTCACTCACTCATTTATTCATTCATTCAATTTCTATAGTTACCCATCTCGAGCAAGTTTATTTCTGTATTCATTCATTCATTCATTCATTCATTCTCTTTTATTCATTCATTCATTCATTCATTCAATTTCTATAGTTATCCATCTCAAGCAAGTTTATTTCTGTATTCATTCATTCATTTAATTTCTATAGTTACCCATCTTGAGGAAGTTTATGTCTGTATTTCTGTATTTATTTATTCATTCATTCATTCATTTAATTTCTATAGTTACCCATCTTGAGGAAGTTTATGTCTGTATTCATTCATTCTTTCTTTCTTTCATTCATTCATTCTCTTTCATTCATTCATTCATTCATTCATTCAATTTCTATAGTTATCCATCTCGAGCAAGTTTATTTCTGTATTTATTTCTGTATTTATTTATTTATTCACTTATTTATTTACTTATTCATTCATTCATTTAATTTCTATAGTTACCCATCTCAAGTTTATTTCCGTATTTCTATATTTCTGTACTCATTCATTCATTCATTCAATTTCTATAGTTACCCCTGTCAAGCAAGTACAAGTAATCCTTGACTTACAGTTGAGCCTGAAATTTCTGTTTGCTAAGGGAAACATTTGTTAAGTGAGTCTGGGCCCATTTTACAGTTTTTCTTGCCACAGTGGTTAAGGGAAGAAACTGCAGTGGTTAAGATAGTCACATGCTTGCTAAGTGAATCGGGCTTCCCCCCATTGACTGTGCTTGTCAGGAGGTCACAAAAGGGGATCATGTGATCCCGGGACGCTGCGAGCGTCATAAACACGAGCCAGTGGCCAAGCGTCTGGATTTTGATCACGTGACTTTTGGGGTGCTGCAACAATTGTAAGTGTGAAAAACGGTCATAAGTCCCTTTTTTTCAGTGCCGTTGTGACTTTGAACGGTCACTAAATGAACTGTTGTAAGTCTAGATCAGGGGTGTCAAACTCAATTTCATTGAGAGCCGCATCAGCATTGCGGTTGCCCTCGGGGGGCCAGGTGGGTGTGGCCTACAGGGTGGGTGTGGATGGAGTGGGTGTGGCCTACAGGGTGGGTGTGGTCAGCTCTACATTGTTCGCGTCAAGGGTGCCTGTGGGGGCCTGGGCAGGAGTGGGACAGATCTAAGGGTCTCTGGCAGAAGGGGGGGGGGACCGGGGCAAGCGCCAAGGTATGGTCCATTTCTTCATTCCTCACAAAGGGGGACACCTCCCCAGCATGCACCCAGGGGGGTGGGCTGACACGGCAGGGGCTGGTTCCTCGCTGTTTCCAGACGGCCTTGTGGAGCTAAGACCGAATGCGTTTCAGCATAGATGGCCACCACAAAATTGTACATTGGCTCCCGGCCGGCCTGGGCCAGGGCCAAGGTAGCAGGGGCCGTTCCCTCACTGTTTCCAGGATGGCTTCGCGGGCTGCATGACACCACTTCGTGGGCTGCATTCGGCCCCCAGGCCTTGTGTTTGACATGTCTGGTCTAGATCTTACCTGCATAGGCAAAAATCTGTATGGTCAAAAATCTGCTTTTCCTTTTTCCGTTCTTCAGGATTTCCATTGTTAGCATGCCCGCGATCTTGACAACTTCCTCTTTTTACCCTCTTCATTTTCTTAAATTTGCCACACAAACCGATTATTATGTCTGCTTTATTTTTATCCTGCCCTTCCTCCATAGGAGCGATGTGAAAAACCAAAGGGGCACTTTGCTCCAAACAAACAAAACTCCCATTAAACCAACTCAAGGCAAGCTTTTTTGGGGAAGGTGTTATCCACACACCAGTTTTGGCAGGTGTTGTCCACACACCAGTTCCGTAGTTTTTATTGCAAGAGTGTTACAGTTTCTAGACACTGCACTGCATTTTCTGCCATGAGTCCTGAGAGCGGTGAACCCATGGGTGTTCCTCTGATTTGTTGGTCTACCTGTCCATCAAACGAAAGGAGGTAGTCCAGGAGCCCCACATATCCTCACTCTAATGATGTTACATAGTGGGTTAATGAAACAACTGCAAGCAAAACACCAAGCTGAGGGAGCAAAGAGGACACCAATTTCTGAACGTTGTTGGAAAATAGATTTTTCTTAGCAAAACGGCTGGTACATTCCTCCATTTGGCTTGGTGAGGTAAGAAGCGGTGGTTCCTAGTCCAGAGAGAATTTGTGCACGCTATTCTCTACTAGCTTATCTATCTACCATTTCTAGAAATGTTTAGGATTTTGAAACCCTTGCTTGTCCTTTTTCTCATGCCCTTGTGACCACAGGTTTAAAAAGAGAGGAAGGGAGAGAGAGTGCGTAAGAGACTAAAATGAATCATTCAACCCACTCTTTCTTAAATTCCCCTTTTTTTTCCCGAGCTACGGGGCAGACAGATGAGAAAAATACACAGAAAACGAGCGAGAAATCTAGAATTTTAGTTTAATGTTAATGGTGGCCTCTTTGACCCAAAACAAGCAGCAGAACCAATGGAGGAGTTGCATTCTGATGCTTATTTTACCAGGGGTTAGTTGACAAAAACAGAGGTTAGAAAGTTGGAGATATGAGAATATGTAGATTATGTAAACAAGACTTATAATGGATGAGTAAATAATTTGATTGTTACAGAACGTTAAGGTGGGTAATGCTATTTTTAATATTTTGATTGCTATTTCTTAGTATATGATTGTATCTTGGTAAGATCATTATGAACGTGATGATTATTATATCTTAATACTTGTATACCTAGACAGCACACTGTTCAATATAGAAATGGAATTTTTTAAATAATTATAATATATATATATATATATTTCTATTTATTCTCTTGGTGATCACTATTTATTTGTTTTATATAGTATGGATATGCCCAAGAGTCGGATTTTCACCCATATAGCTAGCTAGCTAGCTAGCTAGCTAGCTAACTAACTAACTAACTAACTATATATATATTACTAAAAACCGCCAAGCTTTCGTTGGGAACTCCCAACATCGTCAGGGCTAAAAAGCCAGTTTAACAAAGATGACTTAAATAGGTTTGGCTGACATTTGCACCTGGCTCTTAGACTGCGTCACCGGCCCTGGCCGGTCAATTTGTGTTCCAGATGTTTCGTTTCTGTTGCGTTCTCTTCTGTCGTTCTTTCGGACCTGGAACACAAATTGACCGGCCAGGGCCAGTGACGCAGTCTAAGAGCCAGGTGCAAATGTCAGCCAAACCTATTTAAGTCATCTTTGTTAAACTGGCTTTTTAGCCCTGACGATGTTGGGAGTTCCCAATGAAAGCTTGGCGGTTTTTAGTAAAGTATTTTCTTACTTAAATTCTCCTGGTGGTCACATATTATTAACTGCCATCATCGTCAGGGTATAAGCAGGTCGATGGGAGAACTTACTTATAAATGTAACTGCGTCTGCGCTTGGCTCCTGGACCTCGTGATAGGTCCCGGCCAATCAATCCTTGCCTCACTTACAAAATCAATTGGTTTGTCCTTGCATCCTTTACCTACGTGTGTATTACCACCCACCTCTCCCTTTTTTCGTGTTCGTAAATCAGGGGGGCATCCCATGTTTCCCCAGGTCGGGGTGCACATCTCGTCCTTGGATTGATTCTTCTTCTCATACTCTTTGGGGCACTTTCCACCTCCACCCCTTTGATGTATATCGTAATCATTTTTACTTTCTCTACGACGAGGTTTCGCCTTAGGGATCCTGCATCAACCCTCGTTGTCCAACATACTTTTTCCTTCCATTCTTCTGGTATTCATACAACCCCCATCCCTGACGGCATCCATCCTCCCGCCTCTCACAACAGCCCCCAGCATGTCATACGGGTTGACCCGCGGCCCCCGTTGTTCAGCCGCGGGAGCAACAGATGTCCCCAGGGATATACGTTTCGGCGTTGCACCTAACCGGCATCCCCCATCCTCTCCCTTCGTAAGGTCCGGAATAAATAGAAATATATATATATATCACCCTCGTGTATCTGTTGCGCTGCTTTTTGAGAGCGCATAATTAGGTCTTAGGCTTATGTCGTGACTGCAGAAGACCTTTTTCATTTTGAAGAATGAAATAACAATAAGGTCATTGTTGATTCCCATGCAAAGCATCCAATTTCAGGGATGATGATTTAGCCAGCTAACCATGGGAATGAATCACAGTCCTGCTTGGGATGTGCAAAGAAAAGCACCAGAGGCCTAGATGGTTTTTGTGGGTGCTTTCACGTTGCATAATTTGAAGTGCTCCAGAGCAACCAGGAAAAGGCAGTTGAAAATTAACCATTACATCCAGTGGCTCAACTGTCGGTTGGAATTATTTATTTATTTATTTTAAGCTTAGGTCAACTGGCAGAAGATCATAGGTCAGTGATGGCGAACCTTTTAGGGACTGAGTGCCCAAAAACTGGCCCCGCCCCTGCTCTACTCCCTGCCCCGCTTCTGCCCCCACCCCGCCTGCCCGCAGGGCCACTCACCGCCTCCAGGGCCCGCCACAGATTGCCCAGCAGTGCCACGGCGGCCACGCTCTGTGCCCGCGTCCCGCAGCATCAGCTGTGCACGATGGGGCGTGAGGGCAGAGTCTTGTCTACGCTGCCTGGCTGCCATGTCCTTGGCTGCGCCGCTCCGCGTGGGCCACACTCGGGGGTGACTCTCCTTCAGGGGGGCTGCTGGAGAGGAGGGGGTCACCAGCGGAGGCGAGGCTGGGGCAACGGCACATGTGCCCACAGAGAGGGCTCCAAGTGCCGCCTCTGGCACCCATGCCATAGGTTCGCCACCACTGTCATAGGTAGTCCTTGACCTACGACCACAATTGAGCCCAAATTTGTTGTTGTTAAGTGAGACATTTATTAAGTGAAGCTTGCCCCATTTTACAACCTTTCTTGCCACCGTTGTTAAGTGAATCCCTGCATCTGTTTAAATTAGTCACACGGTTGTTAAGTGAATCTGCCTTCCCCCCATTGACCTTGCTTGTCAGAAGGTCGCAAAAGAGGATCACATGATTCCCCGGGACACTGCAACTGTCGTAAATATGAGTCAGTTGCCAAGCGTCTGGATTTTGCTTGTGTGACCAAGGTGGGGATGCCTCAGCAGTCGTAAGGGTGAAAAAACGGTCATAAGTCACTTCTTTCCAATGCTGTTGCAATTTCGACCACTACATGGTCGAGGACGTCCTGTATTTCAGATTAGTCCATTTAAAATTAACTAATTATTGACTATCCACGTGGGTGGAGGAATTTTGTTGATCTGCTAATACAAAACTCACTTGGTGTCCTTGAGTTGTAACTGAAAGTTCTACTTGATAAGTGTTCGCAGAAAAGTAGATTTCTATACGAGGAAGGAGACAGTGCAACAACAGGCATCGCTTCGTCTGTCGATTTGAACGAAGATATTTCCAATATTATGCCCTTTTTAGATGTTTAGCACACTCTAGAAAACTCACTGGTTTGTGGTGAAGACCTAGTGGATGCCTTGATCCTGGAGATCTCGAAAGATTCCAGTTGTCCCAGATCCTCTTTCATTTACAGAGCCATTGTAAAGTCTTTGAAGATTTGAAGCATTGAAACACTCAGGCTGACAACAGGCCTGAAACCAAGACTGTGGAGAGAAAAAAAACAGGGAAGAACTGAGGGCGAAAATCCATACTTGATTTTGGTCATTTCAAGATCAGCTCCATGCTTTTAGGATTCTATTCAGTGGTGGGATTCAGCCAGTTCCCACCAGTTCGGCAGAAACGGTAGCTAATTTTTTTGTTGCCCAGGCCCAGGATGGATTTCCGGAAGCGGCCTCAACACAGAGAACCAGTTGTTCACGTATTTGAATCCCACCACTGATTCTACTAGATTTCTGTGGAGATTCTCAATCATCCATGATTGCCTCAGAGGTGCTTTTCAAAACACAGATGGACTTTCTTGGTGTTTTTTTTTTTCCCTTGAAAAGGTTTCCCTTCTCATCCAACTGAACTGAAAAAGCTTCTTGGATGAGAAGCAAAACATTTTCAAGGGAAAAAAAAACAAGTCCAAGTTGCCGTTTCAACAGCACCTTTGGGACGGTCTACCCAGATTGTCTCTCTTCAGCAACTCAGCCTATTCTTTTAAAGCAGGGGTTCTCAACCTTGGCAACTTTAAGCCAGCTTTGCTGGCTGAGGAATTCTGGGAGTTGAAGTCCACAAGTCTTAAAGTTGCCAAGGTTGAGAACCCCTGCTTTAAAGGAAAGATACTGAATTCAGTTTGCAGTACAAGCACTGGGATCTCCAGAGTTTGGGGGGGGGTTTAGGTAGATTGTTTCCCCACTTGTGGAAACGTTGTCTTATCTCACTTCCTATGTTCTAGCTTTCTTTTCTTCTTCATAAGCTTTGGGCATGTTTTAAGGTGGTCCTGCCACCTCTTTCTTGACCCTAAGTGCATTTCTCAAGCTCCTTAGAAGAAGGCTGGTTTACAAATAAAATAAGTCATCAGTAATTTTTACGAATGGATGTGAAAGTTGAACCATAAGAAAGGCTGAGCGACAAAGAATGGAGGCTTTTGAACTCTGGTGCTGGAGAAGACTCCTGCGAGTCCCCTGGACTGCAAGGCGTTCAAACCGGTCAGTCCTAGAAGAGATCAACCCCGACTGCTCTTTAGAAGGCCAGATCCTGGTTGAAGCTCAAGTACTTTGGCCACCTAATGAGAAGGAAGGACTCACTGGAGAAGAGCCGAATGCTGGGAAAGATTGAGGGCAATAGAAGAAGGGGACGACAGACAGTGAGGTGGCTGGATGGAAGCACTGAAGCAGCAGGCATGAACTTAAATGGACTCCAGAAGATGGTAGAGGACAGGAAGACCTGGAGGAACATTGTCCATGGGGTTGCGATGGGTAGGATAGGACTTCGCAATTAACAACAACAACAATTTTTATGACTGGCACATTGAGAGTCTGCTTTTCACATTGAGTGGAGGACTTTCCACTTCAGAGAAGTTCAGAGCAGTGACTGGCTGCCATCCATTCTTCTCCCCAAATATTAGATCTATAGAATAACAGCTGAGCTACAAAACTTGAGCCTAAGACATCATAATGGTTTCCCGGAATTAATACTTCCTCCACCTATTAAGCCTTTACTAGAGGTTCAGTGCTGACCTTGTCACAGTAGTTCACGGGATGTGATTAAGCCTTTATGCCTTGCTC